GATTATTTTAAAATTTCCATAACTGAATTATTTTTTTCTTGTCTTCTGAACCAAAAAATTTTGTAAGACAGTTACATTAAAATATTTTGAAAATATCCATGTGTTGAATATTTATTATTTGAGTATAATCCCACAAGTGGGGTATTTTACACATGCATGTGATATTTTTTCCTTCACAATATTAAATTTGTGAAAATACTCACTCCATTCATAAATAATAATTCTATTTACATAAAAACTCTTGAGTCATTTCCACTATTAAACAAAATAATATCTATATATGGAATATGAATGTTTATAGCCTAATAAGGCAACCAATATGACAAACACTCAGAGGTGAGCATCATTAGTCATCCATACTTTTACTGCATTGTTGTACAACACAAGAAGTCAGATAATAATTTAAGTAACACAACTCCAAGACCATTGAAATAATGAAATGTCACAATCTACAGTAAAGCAAGTAATAAAAGTCATTTCTATGCAAAGTGAAACCAGTGCTTTAATTTGAGCCACAACTGAAAAGTAATTTTCTCTGACAGCTCTGGCTTGTAATGTACATACTTGGAGACTACCTTTTAGGTAGTTGCTTTTAATAAAACTGACTTAGTAGGAAAATGAAATCATTTCAACACAGCAGTCAATATCAAACAGTTTTTGGCAATATATTGTAAATTACATTGATATTTACAATGCATTCCAAAACTGAAAATCCTTTGTATTAAAGATAAATAAAACATCTTGTACATCTTCATTTCAGGCTATATTTCTACTCCCAATAAATTGGTTCTGATTAGTTAGAAACTGTGTCTTCCAATACTTTTTACATTTTCCACAGACTGATTATGTATCTTGTGTTTGTAATCCTATACGAGTAATTCTGAATTTTCTACAAGTTCAATAGTCATATACCATCTTCTGCATAAACACTTTATTATGAAGAAATATGTCTATTCCAAAATGTCAAAATCTAAATATATTTGTTATTTATCTGTAGTCCTTCTCTTTCTAATAAAACCAAGATTTCCATCCCATGGATGTAATATAAAATAATTTCTAGAAACAAGAGTTCTGAATTATAAAAGAATGCAAGTTCATTAAGTAAAACAAATGAATTATATGATTTGTAACTTCACATTCCACAAACAAGATATTGACCCCAATGACACCTTACCACTAAGTGGTGTCTTTTATATTGATCAATTACATTTACTCTGCCATGTTTAAGACATAGACATTCATATGCTCTACATTTTAAAGTATTTAATTAAAATAATTAGCACTTACATAATTTTAATAAATGTTTCAAATTGCAAAAAAATTTCATTATAACAATTGAATTGGCATTTTCATGAGGAAACTTACCAATCAAAAACTAAAAAATCTTAAATATTCTCTTGAATTTTCCATATTTGATGAGTATCTGCAGAATTTAAATTTGAATAATTGTAGAAAAATTATCGCAACTGAATTGCCAGTATTAGTCATCAGTATACCTAGTTTCACAAGCTAGAACAAACAAGTGATTTTTTACATCTACTAGTACAAAATTAAAGCAGTTTTTGTAATACAACTGATATAATAAATATTTTACACCATCCACAAATTTATTATGATCACATAGAAAAGAAAAATATATTTTTAATTGCAAATCATGTTTCATCATAAACTATCATACGTACCATTGTGATAAAGTAGCTCTTTGTTTTATGGTACACACATGATGGCACATCATTATTTATACCACTATCTAGCAGTATAAAAAAACAGGTCTATTAAAAGTCCTCTTGAACTTAGTTAATATTTCTTAATGATGTCATATTGAATTATGTTTGTTGAAATTTATGTAACCACACATTAACAGTCACATTTTGTATTACTACAGTGAATCTACTTGCATTTTCAAATATTGCATATTCATTAGTAAATTTCCAAGTAATGGCCCTAAACACAATTTAACAGTTATTATATAATAAACATATTTTTTTTGTATCCCAGTCTCTCTCAGAAATTCCTTGAAGACTCAATATACAAATATCATATATAAAAGGAAGTAATCTGTCCTCTAGTTAAACTAAAAACTCACCTCCTTGTCGTGGTTGTAAAATCCCAACAGGAGATTTGTGGACTAGATTGCTTGGATCATTAGCATAACTTGATAGAAAGAATAAGCAAAACTTACTATCATTAGCATAATTTAATAGAAAGAACAAACAAAACTTACTATCATTAGCATAATTTAATAGAAAGAACAAACAAAACTTACTATCATTAGCATAATTTAATAGAAAGAACAAACAAAACTTACTATCATTAGCATAAACTTGCTATCATTTAAATATTCCTTAATGAAATAAGTTGATGGGGTAATATTAGTACAGTACAAACTAAGAGAACTGGCAATTAGTATACTTCATTTCAGTTTTTCAAACTAGCACAATACAAAATAAAAATCATTAAATAATATTATATTTAATTCAATTTCATTGCATTCGTTTAAACTCTTTAAACTTAGTTAAACCATTCTATAGCTACCTATACTTATTTTCACATTACCATATTTTACAAATACTAAAATAATAAACTAGTTACATGTCATTAGTGTAACTCCCCAAAAGATACAAATAGTTTGATGATATCAGTGTTATAATGTTCATACAACTGTTCTTATTATATTCTAAGCTAGACAACCTGCTTTGGCTCACCTTTGTTGAACTTGTGCTAAGGTACTTAAGTCAGTCTCCAGAGCTTGGAGTGCCAGGTATGCCTTAGTCTTCTGCTTTCTGTACAGAAGTTTTAATATAGTTTAATAAAATAACATCAAAGACATTAGAATAGAATGTTAGAAATTAAATAGGTCAGCTACTGTGTTCGTACTTTAAACAGGTAAGCACATTGCAGAAATGCCCAGCCAAACATTATAGCAAAATAAATTACTGTATATTGAAAACCTGAAAATATAAGTCAAAGGATGATAATTGGAATTACTTTTTGTATTTGCAGTATTCAAAACAAATGTTTCACTGAAAACAAAAATATGCCGAGATAGAATTCTACTCTGGCATAGCAGAGAAATAAAAAAATTTAGTCCACAAGTCTTGTAAAACTTTGAAATTCCACCTAAAATGACAATAACCTATGAAGAAAATTATATAATAATAATAAATGGTATGGGAATATAAAAGTTTAAAATAAATATCTACAGAGATGAAAAAAAAAAGTTGCCCCCCACCTCCCACAAAAGTATTGTTTTCTTGTAAAATCAGCTGCAAAACAATCAAGTGTAATACACAAAACTGAAAATGATAGAAACTACATTCAACTCTATAAACAACTACAATGTTTAGGATATACTTGTGACATGTGGAACAAGTACCTTTCAGAAATACATATGAACCTAGCATTCTTTCCTAGATATGACAGTGCCATTACAGATCATAATGCAAGTTCATCTCGCACACAAATTCAAAATTCAAACAATGTATTTATGTACATAATAATAACGCTGTTTTTTAGCAAAAGATATTGGCATGTCTATTTAATTTTTCGTTTTACACAACACAAAACTATCCATTATTCAAGAAGATTTTTTTTGTCTATTTTTATCCAATATTTCACTTGGCAGCTTTGTCACAAGTATAATAATGAAGTCATTTTACATTGCATAAATTGTTCTGAACTACAGGTTTTTAATTTTTTAAATCTTACCACCTTCGAAACTGGTATTAACATAGTTAAGATATGATAACGAAGCACATACCATTTTATAAGTTTCTGCTTTCAAACTTTCTCAGAAGTCTTCAAGAAATTATTAAATACTGTTATTATTTTAAAATAATTTTAAAGTGACTCAATGCTAAAATTCAAAAACATAATTTTAAACATTACATACTTATCAGCATTCAACTGGTATATAGCTGACAACCCTTCCAAATGAGAAGTGAATTCGCCAAAGTTCCCTTGTCTGTAGGAAAATATAAAAAAAAATTAATCAAAGCTAACAAACAAACACTACAAAGTTACACTTCTTGATTAAATTCCATAAAATAGGACATAATGACAAAGCTACTGTACCTATTTCACACTTCTTCCTGATTAATATCCATGAAATAGGACATAATGGCAAAGCTACTGTACCTATTTCCCACTGTTTTCCTGATTAATATCCATGAAATAGGACATAATGGCAAAGCTACTGTACCTATTTCCCACTGTTTTCCTGATTAATATCCATGAAATAGGACATAATGGCAAAGCTGCTGTACCTATTCACACTTCTTCCTGATTAACATCCATGAAAAAAAGACATCATGGCAAAGCTATTACCCACCACCAAATTTAACTTCTGAAACACATACAAGGCTTTTATTTATATAATTAAATAATTATTTCTGATAACTCTGAATACAACTACAGGTTTAATATTTTTCTATGCATATCAACACCGTTAAGATTGTATTCACAAAACAATGAAAAGCAACAAGCTTACAATTAGAGGAGAAGTGTGAAAGCTAGCATCAGAAACAAAACAATGACTGCTGCTCATCTTCAGCTCAATTAACTTTAACAAAATGTGTCTGTTAAATAGTATTTCAGGTTCATAACACTGTAAAAAATTATTAAATATCTTAACGTCTGTACATATTTACTTCACTGGTGTTTGATCATATACTGGAATGTTTAACAGGTGAGTTTTCATGTACAATTTATAAAATTTTCAAAAATATCCTCAGTTCACATACTCACACATCATACTTAATAAGCCTTACTGTAAGTTTCATTTATTCCTTCAAATGGAGAGGAAGACAAATTAATTTGTGTAGATTTCAAATTTGCATTTTAGTAAACTAAAAAATTGTCAAATTACTATTACTGGTACACATAAAACCACTGTAATTTACCTAACTTTCTCACTAAACTATAGGTGTGTTAAAAAATCTCATTTCTGTTCAGAGCAAGGACTTATTCCACATTCTTCAACATTTCCAGTCATATTACAAGTTTCTCCTCTAAAACCAATTACAAATGACTGTCAGATTTATGTAGTTTGGAATGTGCTCTTTCTATTGGTTATAGCCACATACTTAAGAGAAGTAGGTGAGAGTTGAGAAGAGGTTTAAAAAAAAATGTAGTAGGTAGAGCTACCTTCATAGGTTTGTAAAGTGTATTGATATTTCAACAAATCAAAAAAGTGGGAGGTTCTTATTTCATTTTCTAGCTCTTCATTTCCTGAAGTTTGAGTATCTAATTCATTAACCATTACAGACATTGTATGATAGGCTTAATAAAATATAAAATGAGCAATAAGACAGGAAGACATTGCAAAAAAGCATAATTAAAAACCAAAATATATAAAATATTAACATTTAAATTCTAAACTATGTTGTGAGGCCACTTTTATCCACATACAATGATTATAAAGTCAGTTAATTAAATTTTGAAAATAACTAAAATGTGATGCACGCCTTTCGACCTTCCATAGAGAGAGAGAAGTTGGAGGTTCTGTGATGGCAGTTTTTATTGAAATAGTTTAGGGCCTATGATCTCAGTAAAAGGGAAAACAACAGCAAATGATTACTGCAGACCAGATTCACCCTGTAATGAAAACACTATTCCCAAATGAAGCTGGTCTGTTTCAAGAAGACAGTGCATCAATTCACACTGCTGCAATTGTTAAAGCTTGGTTCAAAGATCATGAAGAAGAATTTGGGCATCACTTGGCCACCACAGTCACTATATTTAAATATACTATCAAACCTTTATGGTTATTTCTTAAAACCAAGTTTCTAAGCAGATTTCTACCATCAACATTACTTCAACAATGAAAGAATCTTTGACCAATAAATGGTCAAAAATATCATTCTCTAATGAAATGTTCCATCAGTTCTAAGTCAAATTGATGAAGTACACTGTCTGTTTTTAGTGGATGAGCTCCATGCTAATAAGTAAAATTGAGAAATTACCAGGTATTTTCATTATTTTGTCTAACCCTTCTATACATGATGTATGGCCATATACTAAATTTCTATAAATAGCAGAAAAGTCTTACCTTAGTACTTTAGATAGTTCAGGACAGCTCTGTGAAAAAAGAAAATCCTTTATCACCAATACTAGTTCAATATTTAGTTATGAATTTTTTTTTAAATTAAATACATGACTTATATTGCTTATAAATTTATATAAAAAAATCACAAATCATGAAGCATCTTTGTATTATAATAAATATTCAAACCAGAAAATACTATATTCTGGCTATAGGTGCATTAATAGTATTAAACTTCAAATATCAACAGCACATAGTGTTTACTATTAAAGGTCTCAATACAGTTTAAAAAGTGGATATCATGAGTAACCAAAAATTGCTTACATCTTCAAATGGTGATGACAAGCAAGCCAATAAGCCCTTTATACACAGGCTTCTCACTCACTGCAATTCAAATGGCCTGTTCAGAGGTCTGGCTATTCTATTACAACTGATCTTACCAATACTCAATTGACTGTCTAGATACTTTCATTACATTTATGAGAAAAACTGACAGAGGAAGCATAGAACTTCAAGTGGCAGTGATTATATCATGTAAAGTGTAAGAAATCCCTACTGTTATATATCTATTCAATACATAGAGTGCATTTAACATTAGAGCACTGCTACAAAGAATAATTTCATTACTATGTAGCTAATCTAATAATGGTTTTGAAGAACCTGCTACAGACTAATGTGATCTAATAAAACTACCTACTTTGGTCATAACTAAAAATTATCCCAGTAAATAATGCACTTTATTTATATACCATTCCAAGTAGGAGTATAAAAAGTTATAAAATAAAAACTGATAATGATTATAATGCAATAATTCATCACTTGGGTATCTTCACCATTTGTAGCATTTTGCCACTGCAGTTCTGGGATTTGTGTTCCTAATATTACCTACCTACAGTTATGGAAAATGAAGCCTATGTGGACCAGAAGAAAAGAAAAATTTGGGGTGGGATAAATTCATTACACAACACAGAAAACATCTCCCATTAAGCAAAATCAACCAGGACATTAAGAACATCCATAGAAGCTACCATGATAAAAATCAGGAGCACTTTAAATTAAGCAAATCATGTTCACAAAAAGTAGATCATTCAGGTCTTGAGCATACACAGTGTGCCAGTTTTTGCAAAGAGACAAAGTTTTTTGTGTAATATATGCACAATTTTGCAGTAACACAACCTCTGGCCATAAAATAAATGGAAAATTCAACTTCTTGGAAAATGATAGACAATGGGACCATAATTTGAAAGTCTGTATTACAAATAACTTAGAATAGTGTAAGCTTCTTAGTTACAACTTTAAAACTTTAAGTTAGCATTTTGTGAGCAAGATTCAAGAAATTTCTGTTGTTCAATCATAGCATTTCTCAAGCACCATATGACAAACAACTCAAAGCAATCACTAAATAAACCACATATAAAACATTATCTTACAACATAGGTAGTATAATTAAAATAAATCTGTTCACAGAACAGAATCAAGAAACTCAAAATCCTACTTGAAACACAACATTGTAATATTGTTTTAAATGTAAAAGAAATGCATGACTAAAGTGGCTGGCAACTGGTAAGTTTATTTCTCTGAACTCACTTAATGACTAAATATCTTAATAACCAAGATATCAAGCAGGCAGTGGAAAGCCAATGTAGCTTATTTTTATCTTTAAACCACCAAGATATCAAGCAGGCAGTGGATAGCCAATGTAGCTTATTTTTATCTTTAAACCACCAAGATATCAAGCAGGCAGTGGATAGCCAATGTAGCTTACATTTATCTTTAAACCACCAAGATATCAAGCAGATAGTGGATAGCCAATGTAGCTTACATTTATCTTTAAACCACCAACATATCAAGCAGGCAGTGGAAAGCCAATGTAGCTTATGTTTATCTTTCTTAATTATTTTAAATTATATATCTCAGATATGTGGAAAATAAAACTAATGATTTGTTTTTAACTAAATATTATAAAGTACTGGACTAAAATCTACCCTTACTATGGAACATGTGACTTAATGCAAAAATGCTTAATAATCAAAATGTTCACCAACCTTATTAAAAGAAAACATTAAAAGAATAATTAGAACTAAAATTATGTCAAATAGACAACAGAATATTAGACTGTTATTATTATTATGCAATTAGTATTTCTAATACTTATTGAGAATTGAAAATTATTTGAAAATCACTCAAGTATTTAATAAAAACAACATCTACAAATAGTTATGAGAATGCAAAGAACAAATACATACCACAGGATCACCATGGTGAGCAATTTTTACATCCTTGACTTCTCCCGTGTTTTCTAAAAGAACTTCTACATAGAACATGTCAGAACTGATAAAGCAGTCCATGCCACTAGGTCCAGCTGTGAATTTTAAACTGAAATAAAGAAATAAATATTAAACTCTTACATATTCAAGTTGGTTAAAAAATAACATTCAAAACAATATGGAGAATGACAAAAAGTTGGATTAGCAGTAAACGGTTAATATCTGGTTGAACTAATTCAAAGTAAAAAGAAATTTAAGATTTAAGAAAACTCAGTACTGCTAACTCCTCAATTTATTTCAGGCAATCCTATCTTAAATTTTAATTTATTTTTCTAATTCCAAAATTATTATTGTTTTAATAATAAGAAATATTTCTACCATAATACTTTCAAAGTATCAAGCATGTGCAGTTAATCAACTGCAGCTGTTTTCTTTTATATATTCAAACATTTTATCTGACTAGCAATTATTTTTCAAATTTCTTATTATTCATTTTTTTGTAAAACAGAAAATACTCAAATGATTCATATTTTACAGGTAAACTTCAATGTCTTTCTGTAAACTTTGTTTTTTTCTCATAAATTTCCATCAAAATAAAAAAACAACCCATAAAAAATTATATATATATATATATAAGCTTGAACTTCCAAATTTTTTTAATATTGTTCCCCTATTAATTTTTAACTATTTCAAACTATACAAACATGCCATTGAAGAACATAAAAAAAAATTTAAATGTGAAATAATGCACGTTTTATGGATATAGAAAAATACATATTGCATGGAACACCTTTTTTTGGTTTAAGATATTTTGAACCTACTAAACTTTAAACCAAGGATGCTAAGACTGTGGGCTGTGGGTCAAATTTGGCCAGTAGCCATACTTGTTTGTTGCCTGTGGAAAGTATCATACAAATCCACAAAAACATCTGCACCTTACAAAATACAGTTCTAGAGGGACACTCAGTAGAGCACATACCTCCACCACACAGTAATGATCATATTCAGCTCTCAAAAATTACAAAAAGTTATATCTATGTCCATCATTACCAAGGGACATGGACCACTTCTGGCAGGACAATGAAGAATAATATTCTACACAAGTCCACCAAGTTTCATCAAAACCCAATCATTTTTATAGAGTAAAAATAGTATGAAAAATCAGATAGGGATTTTTTGGATTTTCATGACCTTGAATCTCCAAAAACTAATCACTTTTAAGTTCAGTCATTCATAGTCCAAATATATACCAACTTTTGTCCAAATCCATTCAGTCATTTAAGAAATCTTGCTGACAAACACAAACAGGTGTAAAAATATAACCTCCATCCACATTCAGTGGCAGAAGTAAAAATTGTTAATGGTTCAAATATTTAGAAAGGCCCCAACTGTTTATGAGTTACTATGTTTTAATTATACCAGTCTCCTGGCTTCCAGTGCAAAAGACTTGCCCTTGAACTGTGTTTCACATCCTCCAGTAAGGCAGTGAAGTTTTTGAAACACTGGCTTCAGTTTAGAAATGTAAATGGCCCACCAGGCTTAAGCACTTGAAAACTCCTGCTTTAAACCTTATATAGTACTGATAACCAACAAAATTAAAATTTTAAGGTATTTGTTAATATTAATATTAGGGATGTACAGGTATTAAAATTTGGCCAAATGCCAGATCCAGGTACCCAGTCACTAAGCTTCGGGCGGGGCCGAGTGTCAACCAAGATCGATTTCTCTCCCCCCCCTTCCCAAATATATATATACATAAAAATTACAAACAAAAACAAAAGTGATGTTTATTACATTTAACCAAACAGTCATCAACAGAACATTCAAGTTTTATTTTCAACTTTTATTTCCCAGAAATCTACTTCTCAAGCCATGCCTGTTATTAACTCCTATTGTTCTCTGAATCCCCGACTTTCAGCGAGCAGACAGTCTTTCTTTGCTCGGAACACATTGTTTTTTTAAGTAAACCAATTATTGACTGTAACTTTCAGTACGACATTAGTTGCCACAATCATTAGGACTTAGATGAATAACTTTTACACTTGGCCCGGAGCCGAGTATTAATGAGTAGTCCAATACCTGGCCGGAGCCAAATATCTGACTGGGTACCCATGCATCCCTAGTTAATATACATTATCTTTTTTAATTTCAGATATTTAAAAAATCCAAACTCTTAACAAATGACTAACAAATTTCAGACCCAAACTACCATTAATAAATGCAAGTGTTCTGAATTTTCCTTTACCATAATCTAACAGACTACTATTAAAATCAAAAGAAAATGAGACCAAAGACAGTACAAGTTATGCTATAGCCATTACAGCACCTATTATTACATTTTAAATGCAATTATTTGAAAAAACTTGTTTACATCTATCTTAAGTTTAATCGACTGCAGCTTTAGTGTAGAGGCCAACAGTCTTAAAACAGGCCCAAAAATTATGTAGAAATGTTAAGAAAAAGCAACTTCCATCTTGATTCTAAATAAAAACATGGTATATTAAATATCCAATCCCTTGAAACAACATGTGATTGACCACCTACACAAAATTGACTACAATGCTAGGTTTTCTCCTGACTAAAGGCAAAAACATTATTCATAACCATTCTGCTAGCATGCCTCCTACTTATCTCTCACTCACCATTTGCTGATTTCTTTGCTTTGTGAGGTGAAGAGATAATTAATTCTGGCAACCAATAATAATTCTTTTTTTACTAGAATGAATCTGCAAAACTAAGTACAAACACACACACACACACACACACACACACACACATATACAGTTGTATATGATACATGGATATTTTTAGTATTTTTCAGTGTTACAGAATTTTGTCACTAATAGCTTGTTTTCAGTAACTAGAAAATAAAATCAGATCAAAATCTTAAACAAGTACTTTTCTTGTACTCAGCAATGTTTAATAATAGTTTTAGTTATCAATCAGATAGAAAAGAAAGGATTTTAATACAGAGATGATTTGTTTCAGACAAATCAAATGAACAATGATTTATGAAAGAAGAAATATAAAGAACCTTATATGAATATTCCACTAAAAATAACCTAGAAAGTATGTAAACATTTGTTGCAGTCTGAAGATTTTTCTTGTCCATGAGTAATTCTTACACAACAAAGTATTAAATTATCTAATCCACACATCACATTAACAGTAATGATAGGATTACCTTCTCTGTCTAACTGTTTAACTCATATGAAAGATTTCATTACTGTCATTCTGTAATATATATTCATATACTACATTATTTCTTATAAGAGTATTCTCTCATGCAAACGATCAAGTTTTAATAAAAGTAACCAGATATTAGAAAATCAAAAATAGCCAGCTGGTTAATATTGATATACTATTACACATACTCACCCCTGCTGCCTGGTTATACTTTCTAGTCGCTCAACCATGGACTGTAGTGATGTTACTAAAATATAGTGAAATACATGCGAAGGTTAACCACTATAACAAGTAAAATCATTATATATTTTACAATATACATACAGAAATACATGCGAAGGTTAACCACTATAAGTAAAATCATGATATATTTTACAATATACATACAGAAATACATGCGAGGATTAACCACTATAAGTAAAATCATGATATATTTTACAATATACATACAGAAATACATGCGAGGATTAACCACTATAAGTAAAATCATGATATATTTT